TGGTGAACACTAGAAAAGTTTGCATGAAGCCTGCACTTCCTCATTATCGGCAAGGGTATTCCGACATTCTTCCCACCATGCTTCGAGCACTTCATTCCAGCATGACAGCTTGTGTGCATTATTGTCATCAATCATTCGGTCGTCATTAGAATCGCGCCTACCTGAATGTCATCGAGCGGTTGCTTTGCTAGAAAAGACCGTATCTGTTGCACAATGTAAGCCGAACTTACTTTATTAGGTTTCAAAGTTTCTTTATGGAAATAATTGCCGAGTTACAGGGCGTAACTACTCTAAATCGGTGTCGCTTTGCTACTCTAGAAGACAATTGCCGAGCTCAATTCTCCTGGTTTAGATAACATCACCCATCAAACCTTTCACGTCATATTAATTACCCGAAATTTCATAATGTATTTGACGAAAAAGTAGTCTAAAATCAGTCATTTTTCAGTTTTAAATAGTTAATCTTTGCTACCTAACCTTTAAAAAAGGGTGGTGAATGTATGGCATATGCTCTGTGTTTTATGTAAAGGAATTTCAGAAGTTTTAGGTATTTCCTTTTTTTATAAATATAGGACAACTTTGGCATCTCGTGAATATCTACGCCATACAAACAATTGTTTTTCTTAATAACAAGACCGTCACTCGAGCAAAATTTCACTGCAGAGGCGCATAACTAATACTACCTCAAATAATAATTAGGACAAAGTATATAACTGCAAGACCATGGAGCAGGTCATTATACATCGAAGAAAAAAAAATTATGAATTGAAATGTAACCACTAGAATTCTTTAACAGTAGCACACAGGAATTTCATTTTCTTATCAGGCAATTGCCAGAAAGTGACCTAAGTTTTACGTAAAACTGGCTTTAAAATAAATAAAACTAAAAAATAGTTCACTTAACAATGCTCCACGAAATGCCTTCACCTGGTAGTGCGCATCGTACACTTCCTCCCCACATGTAAAATATCCAACATGTTTAGGGCAAATTCGAAATTTTAATTAATCGCCATCAGGGAGAAAATTTGGAAAAGCAAATACGAAAAGCAAATATAAGGTGCTACTGTAGCGCCCCGAGACTTCCTAGAAGGCGATAGAAGATATAATGTAGCGTCCCGAGACTCCCTGAAGACGAAAGAAGACAAAATACTCGGGCAGAATATATATATTCAGCATGGAGAAGGTGTCTGGGCTATTGGCATGGCCCAAAAGGCCAGCCCACCCAGCGAGGTACAAGGGGGCTAATTCGAAGTACAAAAGTGGCGCCTCACCAGAACCGAGGGATAAACCACTATCGTATTACAATAATGTTCTGGCGGAATATGTGTATTTGGCACACAAAAGGGTTTGGGGCTGCTGGCATAGCCACAGGCCATCCCAACTGACAAAGGTATAATGGTCAAGACACAAAGTGGCTCTTCAACGAAATCGAGAGCTAAACAAATAATCAACGTATTACACTGTAGTTATAATGATTTCTGTTGGGTGCATCGCCCTATTAACAAACTCCAAAAGACCAAGACACAGAGAAGAAAAGCGTGTTTCATGACAGTTTGGCCTACCAAAAAATAGATTCGGGTGATTAAATTAGCACAAAATGGTGAATTCTGCACGTGACACAAATCTCACGGATTTAATCACAAATGTAAATGTACTGTTACAAGTCTCACGTATCTTCCAATTGCGGTTTCATTCCCTTGGACTGAGAATATTGGGCTAAGTCAGACATCCTTCATTCAAGGCTTGCAGTTAAAATTCACTAGTGTTAAAGGTTTGAATGTTTCAAAACTTGACCTGTAGTTGGCCCGCACTTTGTAGGTTTGTGTGTCATGGCAAAATCAAATTTGGGCGATTGCGTCAGCATATTTTTTGTTTGCATTGTTTTTTTTTAGTGGTTTAACTTTGAATAATTATTTCTAGATCGGCTTTAATCTTCGTTTGTTCCTTGCAAATGAGTGCATCAGGAAAGTAGAATATGTTCACGCCTTTTTGTGGCTTAATTGAAAGATTAGCTGGTGGCATGAGATTTTTGCCGTCATTCACAACATTCTACTTTGCCTCATATGGTTTCAGAGTAATACTATTGTGTTGCTGTTCTGCGATGCCTACCATAATACAATGCTTAAATACCAGCTTGTATTTCACGCCCATTCTGATAATTTGCCTGATTCTCATGTTTTCTTTCACGTTCATTCTCATTGCTGTTCCATTATGGCGGCCAAAAATATCTTTGAGTATTTTGTTTGGCTCTTTTTTGCCATATTTTAACTGCTGAGCAAAAGCAGTCGTCCAATGTTGCACATTGGTTTATGCTTTTATGGAAAGAATGGCGAAAAAATTAACGGATGACGAGTTGAAAAGAAGGTTACCTCCAGACGTGTACCGCGTTACCCGTGAGAAAGGTACAGAAGAAGTAGGTATTTTGTAGCCTTATTTCTTAGCCTTTTACAGGAAAATACAATAACCACTTTGAAAATGGACACTACAAATGCGTTTGCTGTGGAGCCCTGCTTTTTAAGTTAGTTTTTTTTTACTCGAAACTATTAAATAGGATTACACTATGGTCATTCTACTGTTTATATCAACATTCTCATTGACTTTCCACTGCATTTTTAAACACTAATGACTACTCCGGATAAATTGATCACTTTTCACAGATTTTCCTCAGAGGCGACGCGAATTCACATAAAACTTTGTACATTCCCTCATTAAGATGGTCATTTGTAATGAATTTTAGGCTCTAAGGTTTTTATCTCCCTTGAATAAAGGTCGAAGGACAAATTTGCCAGCGCCTGCGGGTGGCCAGCCTTCTCTCTTGCTGCAGGCGCCTTGGCCTCCGGCGACGATGCAGACACGAATGTCAAGCGGCGTTTAGACTCTTCACTGGGTATGCGGCGTGTCGAGGTCGTCTGTAAAGTGGTGAGATTGGTCTCAGAAGAACTATTTTTGCAATAATTCTTACTATGCTCTGTGGCTATGCACATTCCACGTGTAGTATTTTCTTGCGTGGCATCGTAAACTCTAGTGAAATCAGGCTGCATGGAGTCCTTTCATGCATAGTTTCGTTGCTTTTTTTAAACTTGACTTATTTGTATTTCCCTGAATTCCTTTAATTGTGATTTTTCAATTTAAAGTTACCCAACGCAACTGACACTGTGTGACATTGTGGCAATTCTTTGTCAAAAGTTTACCATTCAGTCAAACGCTCAACGTTCTAAATATTCATTTATCCCTACATCCTGTTTCCTGTTATACAGTAACACCATTATCTGATTTCTTGCAGTGCGACGCGCATTTGGGGCATGTATTTGAAGACGGACCTGCGCCTACAAATTTGAGGTATTGCATAAACAGCGCATCTCTATCCTTTGAACCGGAGGGCTCATCATAACTCGCCACGTATGGGTTATCATCGTTCCATTTTAAATACAAGTATTTTGACTTATTACCTAGTTTTCATCCGATTCTAATTCTTTGTACCACATTTCGGCAGTGCTCTACCATGTGAGAATTACTGAATTGACATATGAAACGCATATGGAGGTCTTTTATCATTTCTGTCATTTAAATTAATGCGTAGAAGTGTCAACTGGAGATACATTCTGCCTATGTACTGGTTTAGCAACCTTCTAGTAAGAACACGGTTCCCTCAAACTTCCGGTTATTTTAAAAAAGATTAGTAACGGATGGATCAGATGGTGTTTATAACTATGGTCTAAACTCGTGGAAGTTTTTCTCGTCAAATTACCTAGCGCCATTTGCAAGGAGTCGATAGGCTTGATTTACTGGTTGAAACTCATCAATTAACTTATCCAAAGGTTGAATCAGCCTGGACATTTTAGTAAAAATCGTGCGCCTATTGGCTTACCCATGCATTACCAGGATCAACTCTGTTCTTATTATGAGCAGAGGTGTAATACGTTGATAGTTTATTTGACTTTGCCTCTGTGCGCGCATTTAAGTTTCCGAGGATCGTGCTTCCGCTTGGCGGCATAGCCATTGGGCAATGACGGTGG